ACCCAAAAGTGCTTTATAGGGTTTAGAAGTATTTTCATTGCTTTGGTTAAGTGTGTTTCTCAGTGTGCTATACGTAGTGCTTTTTAGTTAATACAAAAAGTTTGGGGGTTTTCATGATATTTTCGTGTTTCTAATAAAATTGCTACCAACAAAAGTGCTATACGTAACTCCCCAAATATTGTTTCCTTTTTGTCTTTTTGAATTCCAACGACTACGCTCACAATATTTACAATATTTTTCTTAACGACCTTTTCTTTTGAGAGTGATAACATACTAAACTCACACATGCTATATATATACTAGGATTCGAATTCAGGATTAGGACCTTTCTCAGAGGAGCATTTGCTCCAAACCACTACGAGAGTTTTGAACGTAACAATGTGACAGATTTAAGAAGGGATAGAGGGTTAGGTTCCTTCCCATTTCCAATCTCTGTTGTGGAAACACTTTAATATTTTTATAATTTTTGGCCAATCAATAGGCAGCTATAGTGGGCGAGTCTTTTCCCCTATAATGGTGGTTTTTAAAGTTGTAAGCTTATAGCACTTTAGCTTCCCAACTCACACTTTGGAACAAAAAAGAAAAGAGATGGCATGCATCACAACATTCACATGCCCAATTCCTTGCCGTAATTAAAGTTCATGTATTTTGGTAATTCGAAAAGAACTTCCATCATGACAACCAAAATTTCAATTCACATGTTTAAATGTGATTTTGTATTTATAACATCTCCTGCTTCTAAACATAGCATTTTCCATGTGATTTTCATGCCCCCTCTTTTTAGTTTAAAGTCAAACCAAAGTGTTCTTTTCCTTATTAAAGGGGTTGAATGATGGGCAAGAGCCTAAAATTGATATATCCAACTAGTATACATTTTCATTTCTTTAGGAAATCAGCAGCAAAAGTGAAGACAATGCTGACTTGAATAACATGGCATTGATGACATTGCACCTATGGCTTGTATAAGACTCTATGGAACCAACAATCTCAGTATAGTTTCCACCATAACTCAAGAGAGAGGCCTTTTTCACACCGTATATATGTATAATACACACATTGACGTATTTAGAAAATAACTTTAACACTTGGACTGTAGAGACAAAAAAAAAACCAATGAAGTTATGAATATGAACAATTTTCTTACTCCATCAACTGTCAAATTCCCAATCATAGTGCATTTTGTTGAGACAACGCTAGTATCGGGAAAGATTGCTCTTTCACATACGTCGTCTTTAATAAACTCTTTTGTTAATTCCTATCATAAATTCATCATCCAGTTACTTTTGGGATGTAGTAAACTGATTGCATTTTGTCCATTATAGGTGTGTTTACCTCAGAGAAGAAAGATGCGGGACCAAGCACACTAAATAGTGTTATAGCCTCTCCTCTTGTTGGATTAAGTTAGCACTTGAGTTTGCTTGAGGCCCAAGTAATATGCCCTTAAATGATCCAGTTTGCGATAAGCGTGCCACTGTTGAAATTTGGATTAGCCGAATAGAAAGATATTAGTTGATTAATGATGTATTCTTAGTGATTTGCGCGTTGTAATCAGACTTCTAATCAAGCCATTGAATTCTAAATGAGGATATGACTCAGATTAGTTCTTTTATATGCCTTGTATGAACTAAGGAATTTCAAATTCTACTTATGTGCATTGGTAATGTTCATATCCTGAAGGATTAGCCCTTGATCGGGCTAGAAATGCTTATATCAGGCTGGAAAATCCCTGATTGGACTGGATATTGGCAGATCGGGCTAGAAAATCCTTAGCCAATTTCTGGTAGGGGTGAGCATTGAGACCGAAAAATTGGAACACCGAGCCGCACCGGATGGAAAAAACTGGAAAAAAAACTGTGTTGACTAAAAAGTCAACAAACCGACATCGAACCGAACAAGACTGGTTCAAACTAGTTTCGGTGCCGGTTTCACATCTTAAAAAACCGAACCAGATCGGTTGCGTATTTTTTTTAATTTTTTTTTAAGTCCAATGCTAAATTTCTAATCCCATAACTAATATTTTCTCAAGCCCAACTTCAAAGCACCTTTCTTTTCTAGGCTCAATCATCTCTCTTTGCATGAAATTGGATCATTTGTGAATTTTTATACCAAAAAATAAAATTTTCAGATCAGTTGCGTATTTTTTTTAAATTTTTTTTTAAGTCCAATGCTAAATTTCTAATCTCATAACTAATATTTTCTCAAGCCCAACTTCAAAGCACATTTCTTTTCTAGGCTCAATCATCTCTCTTTGCATGAAATTGGATCATTTGTGAATTTTTATACCAAAAAAATAAAATTTAAGTTGAAATTTGTAAAAATAAATAAAATAATATCCGGTCCAAAATCTAAAAAACTAAAAACCGCACTAGAACCGGTTTAAACTAGACCACCCAGTTTCATAGATTTTTTTCACTAAAATTAGACCGAACTTTACATGTTAAATAGTACCAATTTCGGTTCCGGTGTGAGGTAGAAATCGGACTGGACCGGACAATATCCACCCCTAATTTCTGTCTTTTTGTAGTCCGATGTAAAAGAAAACAAGTGTAAAATGCTAAATGAGTGCTTTTAAACTTAAGATTCAATCGAAAGGCATGATTTGGAATTGAATATTTCTTTATTCAATTCATTATGAATGAAAAATGAAAGTAAAATGACAGCGAACAACTCTGAACTGAAGATTTCTCGATTCAGTTTATTGCAATTACAGACTTTAAATGGAAAGAGAGTAAGTAAATATGATAAATTGAAATACTGATGCTGAAATTAAACAAAGCCTAGCAACTAGGAATCAATACCAAGTGTTGGTAGAGCAATAAACTAAAAAGACAACTATCAGGAGTTATCAATTGGTTATCTTGGTGCAAGAGAGGTTTGTTGAGTTCAACGAGATCAAGGGTTGATTGAGTTTGAAGTCTTTTTCTGAGAAGAAAACTTGAGTTGATTGTGTGTCCTATGAGCCTTGGGGTGTGCTTCTATTTATAAGCTCCTTGGCTCTTGAAATTGCACGTTTGGTGAAGAGGTGGCTCAATTTGGTGTCAATTTTTTTGGACAAAACTGGTGAACTTGAGTGTAGTGATCTTCGAGCTTCGGCTGTGACCTGCACTAAGCATGGCTGTTCTTAACAAGTTGGTGCTAATGAGTCTTGCAGTTCAAATCACATTTAATGCGGTTGCTCAGCCTTTCTTTTGATGCCTGATTCTTTCTCAGTAGTCGAAGTCAACTTTGAGTTTTAATTTGGGAAGTCACACCTTTAACGGGGTAAAAACTTTTTTATTATTTTATATATAAATATAAACGACGAATTTTTCTGAAAAAGTTAGAGTCATTGGGCTAATTCGACCTTTTGTTTCAATCTTTGGGTATTTAATTTTACAATATGGACCGACCCAACACCCATTTGGCAATAAATCTCCCTTAATGGGCCTCTTTCCATTTTAGGTCCAAACAAGGTGTTTATAGAGTAATTCTAACAGAGATATCACAAGTAGGGATGACAATGGGTCGAATCGGGGGTGGGTATGCCATTCCCATTCCCATCCCCATTAAGCTTTTTTTCCCCATCTCCGTCTTCATACCTGTAATATCTATATCAGGGATTCCCTATCCCTACCTTCATTGGGGAATAGGTTTTTCGACCCGCCCCATTACGGAAGAAAAAATCAATATATAACTACTTTGTTGAAGAAAAAAAATTACTGAGGCAAAATAATGAATATATAAAATATATACTTATAAGGCAATATAAGAATGTTTATATATGTACTAGAAGTTAACTAAATAAATAAGTAGTGTGGCTTAAGATTTGTATAAATCATATAAGTATATAATATAATAATATAAAACTTAGTCGGTACAATCACTTTAATAGCATATTTATATATACTATAATATATATACCTCATCAAAAAATTAATATATATATATTCTAAAAGGGGAGAGTTCGGGTTGGGGACAAAAATACCATCCCCGCCCCTCCCCGAACACCATACCCAAAAAATTCCTCGTACCCATCCTCATATTCGTTTTTTGTCCTTCATAACCGACCCATTAGGGTCGAATCCCCGCAAAGACCCTTACCAATTCTTCACAAGTTCATCCATCTTTTTTTTTTCTTCCTAAAATCCTCCACACCCTGTCAAACCTGTCTTATAGTTTCTGTTTGACCAGCTGCTTCTAACTAGTCAACTATGTATTTCAAGGTATGTTAAAGTTCAAGTCCAAATTGTCCTTAGTTGTTTATACATAGACCAGAGGAATATAAATAGGTATAATCGACTCTAGTAATTACAGTTCAAGAAAAACGGGAAAATATAAAGCCATAAGATTATTTAGTTTAATTAGAATTTAAACGGGCAAAATAACGGCATATATATAGAAGTTCAATTTTAGGAATAATTGGAAAATTATCCAGTCTAGAAAATAGAATTAATTAATTTTAAACTGGGCAACATAACACTTTAGAAAGAGAAATATGAAATTAAAATAAATAAATAAAAGCATATTTTTTTTGTCCCAAGACTCTGACATAGTTTCGACCAGAAAAAAAGAAAAAAAAAGAAAAAATACTTAGACATAGTCCAAATTGTACCTTCTCTATTTCCTTTTTGTGTAACATTTTGTAGCTTTTGTATAAATGTGTGTGCGCTTTTTGCATGGATGCTACTTGCTATATATGTGAGAGACAGTTGAGCATGTTGAAGAGGAGTTTTGCACAAGATACCCAACTAGTTACAGGTACGGGTACAGGTTCACGAGTATCCAGTCGGAGTCGCCTACGGGTATCCGTCGTCCGACAAAGGAAAAACAAGAGCAAAGTAAAGAAAAGAAGAAAAGAAGAAAAGAAGAAACCAGAGAAAAGCAAGGAATAAAGTGTCAGTTGAGCATCCACTCCACAGCCTGACCATGAGAGTAAGAGAAAAAGCCTCTCAGTTGCCCCTCCAAATGAACGGCGCCGTTTCAGCCCTCAAGCCTCGGCACAAAAGCAGCAGGACCTGATCATGTCGTCTTCTTCTTCCTCCAAGAAGCTCCATGTCTACGGCGGCAAGGCCTCCTTCATGACCTGGAGGCTGCATGACGTCCTCTACGTGGCCAAGCACTATTGGATACCCTGTATCTTCGCAATGGGCTTCCTCTTCTTCGGGAGCGTCGAGTTCACGCTCGGCATGGTTCCCTCGTCGTCTCCGCCCTTTGATGTCGGCTTCGTCACCACGCGCTCCCTCCACCTCCTCCTGGCTTCCAAGCCCAAGCTCAATACATTTCTTGCTGGTCTTAACACGGTACTAATTCTAATTATCTTTATTTTGTCTTGTTATGTAGAGTTGTAACTTGTAATCTTATATGGTGAGGTTTTGTTGTGATTTGTGAATTTAATTATTTTGTCATATTTAGAAAGAACAACCATCACATTTCTGACAGAGGCTGCATTTTTTTTTTTTTTTTGTGATTTATTTTTACTGCATTTGCATTTGGAAACTGTGAGCTACCTAGATTTCAGAGACTTTGATTCTCTGTACAATTTTGGGTTCTAGAGACACTGGATTTGCTATGCAAATTAATACTGCAAAGTTGAATGACATTTTGCTACTCTAGGTGTTTGTGGGAATGCAGATAACATATATTCTATGGACATGGCTAGTAGAGGGCCGGCCAAGAGCCACAATCTCAGCGCTCTTCATGTCCACATGCCGGGGCATCCTTGGCTACTCTACCCAACTTCCATTGCCTCAGGTAAAATCCCCATCAATATTCATCTACATATCCCACACACATTTGCTACTCACTTACTGACCAATCTCACATTTTGGGCGTTGTGTTTCAAATTTTGTGTTGGAAGGGATTTTTGGGGTCCCGCGCAGACTTCCCAGTTGGCAATGTGTCTTTTTTCCTTTTCTTCTCAGGGCATGTAGCAGGTTGTGTGATTGCATCTTTGGACATGAGGAGAATGCAGAGGTGGGAAATGGCATGGACATTTGATGCACTGAATGTGCTACAAGCACTGAGGTTGCTAGGGACAAGGGGCCACTACACAATAGACTTGGCTGTGGGGGTTGGGGCTGGTTTTCTCTTTGATTCTCTGGCAGGCAAGTATGAAGAAAGCAAGAGATCAAAAGCACCTACAACAAATGGTACCAAAGAGGCTTTCTTTATGTGAATAGATGGAAAGGTCAAATCTATTAGCGAGTCCTTATTTAATTAGGATTTTGGTTCCTTACTATGTTAGGATTTTGGTTACTTACTTATTTGTCTAGTCCTATTATAATTGAGATTTATTTCCTATTGTAATTTAGATATATTTTCTATTTTATTTAGGGTTAACACATCTTTGTACTTGTATAAATACTTCGATATTGGAGAATAATAATAAAAATGAGCATAATTGAATATTTGCCCTACTTTGTTTGACATGGTATAAGAGCCTAGGCTTTCTTGTAACCTATGCTTGCGTTCTCCTTGCAATTTAATTGCTCTCCTCCCCTCCTCTTCAAGGGGGGAAGGGGGAGTGAAAATGATATATTTCTCTTTCCCATGGAGATATTTCCTCTTTCTTGACTTCAACAATCCCTCCTCTTCAAGGGGGGAGGGGGAGTGAGAAGGATATGTTTTTCTTTCCCATGAAGATACCATTCTCTTCATGGGGATAAAGGGAGTGAAGAGAAGTTGTGTTTGTGTGAATTATGAAAAGTAGATGTGGAGGAATTCTCCTTCACTTTGGCTGTTGTTGTCATTGCTGATGTCGTGGCCACTGCTGCCGTCGTTGACGTTGACTTTGCTTGCTTCTCTTTCCATTCTATGGTCATTGCCGTTGTTGTTGCTGTGGCTATGTTCTTTGCAGTGTTCATAGGGTTTCTGTGTTTTGCCGTACTAGCAGGATTTCTGTGTTCTGCCGTGCTCGTAGGGTTTTTGTGTTCTGCTGTGCTCGTAGGGTTTCTGTGTTCTGCCGTGCTCGTAGGGTTTCTGTGTTCTGTTGTGCTCGCATGGTTTCTGTGTTCTGCCGTGCTCGTAGGGTTTCTGTGTTCTGTTGTGCTCGCATGGTTTCTGTGTTCTGCTATGCTCACAGGGTTTCTGTGTTCTGCCGTGTACACAAGGTTTCTATGTTCTGCTATGTGCCCTATTTATTGGGGTTCGCTCTTGTGTTTCCATTGCAATCTTTGCTTCGGTTTGTCTATTGCTTAACTCATGGTTTACGACAAGACCTTCTCTATAGTTGTTCGATTGGTCAATGTCGAGTATGGTGTTCTATAACTCACTTGTCAAGTTGGGTATGTGGAATATCTTTGCCCCAATTTGAGGGTGAGTGTTGGTGAGTGTTTATTTAGTTAGGATTTTGGTTACTTATCTATTTGTCTAGTCCTATTATAATTAAGATTTATTTCCTATTGTAATTTAGATATATTTCCTATTTTACTTTGGGTTAACACATCTTTGTACTTGTATAAATACCTCCATATTGGAGAATAATAAATATATTTTTTTAAAAGCATAATTGAATATTTGCCCTACTTTATTTGATAAAATCTAATTAAGAAAATAAAAGAAAGTATGTGTTTTGGATTATTGTACAGAGACAGAGAGAGCTCAATGTAGGGGCCTTTTTGTTGTTTTTTTTATATATTTATTTATAATTTTCCTCTAGGATGTATTTTGTTTTTTCTTTCTTTAAAAAATCTCATTCTTCATTTGTTAATTTCCTTTCTACTCTTGTGCAAAAGTTCTTCAAGGTGTGTTTGGAAGTAGTTTTGGCAGGGCTAGAAGTGTTTTTCGTTTGGGAGTGATTTTGGAGAGGCCAATAATCACTTTTATAGAGAATCATTTCTCAAAATAATCACTTTAAGTGATTTTATGGAGAAGCACATGGGAGGTGCTTCTCCCTAGAATTACTTAAAATCACTAAAAGTAATTTTCTAGAGAAGGACATGGGAAATGCTTCTTCCCATAAGTAATTGATAAAAGTATACAAAAGTGCTTTATAGGGTTTAAAAGTATTTTCATTGTTTTGAGTTTATACCTAAATTTTTTCGATTGGATTCACACAAAAACCAAGTGACGTGGCGAGGCCTATTAAATCACGTAGATGGGTTTAGAAGTGGGGAGGCCCAAATTTAAAACAAACTGAGACCGCGAAATAATATCATAGTAGATTTAATCATGCCCTTCCTTGAATGAAAAGCAGCTGATTGGTAATTAATGTGCACTCATGTGGGAGTCGAACAGAGGTGGAGCCCAAAACTCAACAGCTGTGACATTTTGGACCAAGCCCAAAATAGGCAGGATCGGCCCAAAGACCATACCATCTTTTTAGTCCACAAGTACGAAGGCCGAATACTCGAGGTCTAACATAGCATTGAGAGGACATCTTCTTCGACAGCTTGGACAGTGGCTGATTTTCTCGGCAGCTTTTTGGAGTTCGCAGTTTTTGAAGGAGGCAACATTTGCCTATGAAGAGGGGGCTTAATTTAAAATATTATTTTGACTATTGGATTTAAATTTCAGCTGTTGGATCTTTTTTTTTTATCGTTAAAATAGCTTAGATTTAATCTAGATCGTTGATTTAAAGTTACTATTAGAATTTTTATTTATTTTTTTTTTAAAAGGGAATTTGAATTGGGCAAAGTCACTTTTGGTCTCTGTGGTTTACCACTTTTACCACTAAAGTCCTTGTGGTTTCAATTTTGTCATTTTTGTCCCTGTGGTTTCAATTTGATGCAATTTAAGGACAATTCCCAATTTCTTATACTTATTGAGGGGCATTTCAGTCCAAAGTTGCAGCCCCTCCCCAACTACCTCCACCGCCACTAGCCCATCCAAAAACTCCTCCCTGTTGTAAACATTGATAATCCCACTGTCTAAACTAGCAACAAACAATGCTCCTTGGAGATGTACAAAGAGAGGTACCATTATACAACCTTCAATAATAATTTTTTTAGAGATTATGTTGAATTACATAATAAGAAACTATCAAAGCTTGTGACACTAGCACAAGGTGCAGCAAGAGCTACAATTGATGATGTTGTTGTAATCCTAGGCTACTTTTATGAATCTTACAAAAGACCGAAGTAGACTTGCTCTAGCTACCTTGTTTTTCTGTTTTGGTTGGAGATTTCCTTCATCCCTTATGAAGAAATGAGATGGATTATGATTATAATTGTGAGTTTTTCTTTGGGTTCAGAAAAAATATAAAGAAATGTATCTCCCTTGTGTAATCCTAAGACCCGCTCGATTATGATTTTGTTAGTTGATGTTTATGTATAAATGGCCATAATTTTTATCAACACAAATTCAAATGGAGCATTGTTTGTTGCTGGTTTACAACAGAGATAAGTTTTTGGAGGGGCTGCTGGGTGGCTGTAGGGTGGTTGGGGAGGTGCTGCAACTTTGGGCCGAAATGCCCCTCAATAAGTATCAGAAATTGGGAATTGTCCTTAAATTGGTTCAAATTGAAACCACAGGGACAAAAGTGACGAAATTGAAACCACAGGGACCTTAATGGTAAAAGTGGTAAACCACAGGGACATAAAATGACTTTTTGCCTTTGAATTGCAACGGTAACTTAAAGCTGGAATAAAGCCAGCAGCGTGGCCCCAGTCTCTTTTTAAACATTACTATTAGATTTTTTTTTATTTTTAAAAGAGACATTTGAATTGCAACGACCACTTCACTAGGAGCAGACATGTGGTATGGGCCAGCAGACAAAGCCAGCAGAGCTGGCCCCAGTGTCTTTTCTGATGCAAATGGGCTGTGCCATCTGTCCCCTCCTCTTCAAGGGGGGAAGGGGGAGTGAAAATGATATATTTCTCTTTCCCATGGAGATATTTCCTCTTTCTTGACTTCAACAATCCCTCCTCTTCAAGGGGGGAGGGGGAGTGAGAAGGATATGTTTTTCTTTCCCATGAAGATACCATTCTCTTCAGGGGGATAAAGGGAGTGAAGAGAAGTTGTGTTTGTGTGAATTATGAAAAGTAGATGTGGAGGAATTCTCCTTCACTTTGGCTGTTGTTGTCATTGCTGATGTCGTGGCCACTGCTGCCGTCGTTGACGTTGACTTTGCTTGCTTCTCTTTCCATTCTATGGTCATTGCCGTTGTTGTTGCTGTGGCTATGTTCTTTGCAGTGTTCATAGGGTTTCTGTGTTTTGCCGTACTAGCAGGATTTCTGTGTTCTGCCGTGCTCGTAGGGTTTTTGTGTTCTGCTGTGCTCGTAGGGTTTCTGTGTTCTGCCGTGCTCGTAGGGTTTCTGTGTTCTGTTGTGCTCGCATGGTTTCTGTGTTCTGCTATGCTCATAGGGTTTCTGTGTTCTGCCGTGTACACAAGGTTTCTATGTTCTGCTATGTGCCCTATTTATTGGGGTTCGCTCTTGTGTTTCCATTGCAATCTTTGCTTCGGTTTGTCTATTGCTTAACTCATGGTTTACGACAAGACCTTCTCTATAGTTGTTCGATTGGTCAATGTCGAGTATGGTGTTCTATAACTCACTTGTCAAGTTGGGTATGTGGAATATCTTTGCCCCAATTTGAGGGTGAGTGTTGGTGAGTGTTTATTTAGTTAGGATTTTGGTTACTTATCTATTTGTCTAGTCCTATTATAATTAAGATTTATTTCCTATTGTAATTTAGATATATTTCCTATTTTACTTTGGGTTAACACATCTTTGTACTTGTATAAATACCTCCATATTGGAGAATAATAAATATATTTTTTTAAAAGCATAATTGAATATTTGCCCTACTTTATTTGATAAAATCTAATTAAGAAAATAAAAGAAAGTATGTGTTTTGGATTATTGTACAGAGACAGAGAGAGCTCAATGTAGGGGCCTTTTTGTTGTTTTTTTTATATATTTATTTATAATTTTCCTCTAGGATGTATTTTGTTTTTTCTTTCTTTAAAAAATCTCATTCTTCATTTGTTAATTTCCTTTCTACTCTTGTGCAAAAGTTCTTCAAGGTGTGTTTGGAAGTAGTTTTGGCAGGGCTAGAAGTGTTTTTCGTTTGGGAGTGATTTTGGAGAGGCCAATAATCACTTTTATAGAGAATCATTTCTCAAAATAATCACTTTAAGTGATTTTATGGAGAAGCACATGGGAGGTGCTTCTCCCTAGAATTACTTAAAATCACTAAAAGTAATTTTCTAGAGAAGGACATGGGAAATGCTTCTTCCCATAAGTAATTGATAAAAGTATACAAAAGTGCTTTATAGGGTTTAAAAGTATTTTCATTGTTTTGAGTTTATACCTAAAATTTTTCGATTGGATTCACACAAAAACCAAGTGATGTGGCGAGGCCTGTTAAATCACGTAGATGGGTTTAGAAGTGGGGAGGCCCAAATTTAAAACAAACTGAGACCGCGAAATAATATCATAGTAGATTTAATCATGCCCTTCCTTGAATGAAAAGCAGCTGATTGGTAATTAATGTGCACTCATGTGGGAGTCGAACAGAGGTGGAGCCCAAAACTCAACAGCTGTGACATTTTGGACCAAGCCCAAAATAGGCAGGATCGGCCCAAAGACCATACCATCTTTTTAGTCCACAAGTACGAAGGCCGAATACTCGAGGTCTAACATAGCATTGAGAGGACATCTTCTTCGACAGCTTGGACAGTGGCTGATTTTCTCGGCAGCTTTTTGGAGTTCGCAGTTTTTGAAGGAGGCAACATTTGCCTATGAAGAGGGGGCTTAATTTAAAATATTATTTTGACTATTGGATTTAAATTTCAGCTGTTGGATCTTTTTTTTTTATCGTTAAAATAGCTTAGATTTAATCTAGATCGTTGATTTAAAGTTACTATTAGAATTTTTATTTATTTATTTTTTTAAAAGGGAATTTGAATTGGGCAAAGTCACTTTTGGTCCCTGTGGTTTACCACTTTTACCACTAAAGTCCTTGTGGTTTCAATTTTGTCATTTTTGTCCCTGTGGTTTCAATTTGATGCAATTTAAGGACAATTCCCAATTTCTTATACTTATTGAGGGGCATTTCAGTCCAAAGTTGCAGCCCCTCCCCAACTACCTCCACCGCCACTAGCCCATCCAAAAACTCCTCCCTGTTGTAAACATTGATAATCCCACTGTCTAAACTAGCAACAAACAATGCTCCTTGGAGATGTACAAAGAGAGGTACCATTATACAACCTTCAATAATAATTTTTTTAGAGATTATGTTGAATTACATAATAAGAAACTATCAAAGCTTGTGACACTAGCACAAGGTGCAGTAAGAGCTACAATTGATGATGTTGTTGTAATCCTAGGCTACTTTTATGAATCTTACAAAAGACCGAAGTAGACTTGCTCTAGCTACCTTGTTTTTCTGTTTTGGTTGGAGATTTCCTTCATCCCTTATGAAGAAATGAGATGGATTATGATTATAATTGTGAGTTTTTCTTTGGGTTCAGAAAAAATATAAAGAAATGTATCTCCCTTGTGTAATCCTAAGACCCGCTCGATTATGATTTTGTTAGTTGATGTTTATGTATAAATGGCCATAATTTTTATCAACACAAATTCAAATGGAGCATTGTTTGTTGCTGGTTTACAACAGAGATAAGTTTTTGGAGGGGCTGCTGGGTGGCTGTAGGGTGGTTGGGGAGGTGCTGCAACTTTGGGCCGAAATGCCCCTCAATAAGTATCAGAAATTGGGAATTGTCCTTAAATTGGTTCAAATTGAAACCACAGGGACAAAAGTGACGAAATTGAAACCACAGGGACCTTAATGGTAAAAGTGGTAAACCACAGGGACATAAAATGACTTTTTGCCTTTGAATTGCAACGGTAACTTAAAGCTGGAATAAAGCCAGCAGCGTGGCCCCAGTCTCTTTTTAAACATTACTATTAGATTTTTTTTTTTAAAAAAAAAGAGACATTTGAATTGCAACGACCACTTCACTAGGAGCAGACACGTGGTATGGGCCAGCAGACAAAGCCAGCAGAGCTGGCCCCAGTGTCTTTTCTGATGCAAATGGGCTGTGCCATCTAAGGAGAAAGCATGCGGATGAAGGGAGTGTTTCAGTGCAATAATTTCAGTTGCAACTGCTTTTTGGAAAGCCGTTGGATATAATCCAACGGTGTTCTCATATTAAGTCCTCATTTAGAGGTTCTTGCTAGATCCTTGCCCTTTTGGGTTTAGCCTCTTAGGTTGGAGATGGCCTTATACTTCATTTTTAAACACTCAACATCTCAAAAAAATCAACCCAAAATGCTGCTTAAATTTCCTCCCAAATCAAACTTAGGTAGAATTTTATTGCTTTCCTAGGAACCATGTAGTTATATCATTGAGAAACTTTGAGGCTTGTTCAATGTTCTCTCGAGCACCATCATTGTAATCATCCATATTTTATATCAACAAACAACTATGTTCATCAGAATTTTCGTTTGAGCACCATCCAATCCACCTCGGTTTCTCACTTAAGCTTTGTTTTAGTTAATAATTCAAAGAGGACTTGAGAGATCTTGACAACACTCATTGCTATCAAGGCCAAAAGTGACCGTGATAGCTGGCACGCCTTTGCACAACTCTCGCACCAAAAGGACGACTTTGTTACCATCTTCATACAGCCATCGATTATTTTATTCCAAATAATCCACGTGTTAGGCCAAAAAGGTTTTACGGTCAACATTTAAGTGTTTTTCTCAGTGAGGTAATACATATTGCTTTCTAATAAATAAATAAATAAATAAATATATATATATATATATATAAAAGTTTTGGGGGTTTCATGATTTTATTTTGTGTTTGTAATAAAATTGGTACCAACAAAGTGCTATCAATGACTCCGAAAATTTTTCGACAAAAAAAAACACCGAAATATTTTTTTGAAATCCAATGACTGCGCTCACATTTTAGTATAAGAAAGGGTGAAATGACCCCTCCATTATATAGCTAACTAATCCATTGACCAAAAAAAATATATAAATTATTATATAAACTCTTGTACAGCAAAGATTGGATATGGGGATGGGGAGAAGCCTAATCTCATTATCCTTTCTTAAATCCGTCACACTGTTAAAGTGAACAACCGGTTAAAAAGTTTGTAAAAGGAACAGAAAGAAAAAGAGAGTTTTGAACGTACAGTGGGACAGATTTTAGAGGGGATAATGGGGTTCGGCTCCTCCCCATTTCCAATCTTTGTTGTGGAAGAACTTTCATATCCTTTTATATGTTTTTTGTCAATCAATAGCAAAAATTCTATATAGTGAGGGCCTTATATACGTTTCTTAGATGAGACCATATCTCTTAACCGTTGGATCAAATTGACTAGCATGATCCAACAATTAAGAGATAGAACCTCACCTACGAGCCACGTATAAGGCCCACACTACATAATGACTCTTCAATCAATAGGCAGTTGCATAGTTGGGGAGTCTGTTTGCCCATAGTGGTGGTATGAATCTGGGTTTTTAAAGTTGTGGGCTTATAGCACTTCACCTTCCCACCTCACATTTTGGAACAGAAAAAAGAGAAGAGACTGGCATGCATCTCAACATTCACATGCCTAAATCCTTGTCGTAAGGGATTAAAATTCATGTATTTTGGTAATTCGAAAAGAACTTCCATCTTCAAGAATCCATCATGACAACTAAAAATGTCAATTCGCACGCTGTCATGTTATTTTCATAATATCTTCTGCTTTAAACATGGCATTTTCAATGTGATTTTCATGCACCTCTTCTCTGTTTAAACACACACACAAATGTGTTTTAGTTCTTTTCCTCATTAGAGTTGACTGGTGGGCAAGATTTTAAATTGATATATCCAACTAGTATACATTCACATTTCTTTAGGAAATCAGTATAGTTTCCACCATACCTCAAGACAGAGGCCTTTTCCAGACATTGACACCATATATATATGTATTGCACGCACTGACATATTTACGAGCGAGAAGGGCAGGTACTAACTGCAGAATACTACTCAAGAGTCAGAATCTGGCTCAATTGGGCATGATCCATCATCTACATTGGCAAGCGGGTCGTAGGAGGGTGAACTAGGATCTGTGCATCCTGGTACGAGATTAAGGTTGCAACGATCGCCCTGCAATGACATGACACTCGTTAAATTTAGAAAATAGCTTTAACACTTGGATTATAGGGACAAAGAAACCAGTGAAGTTGAGAATATGAACAATTTGCTTACTCCTTCAACATTCAAATTCCCAATCATAGTGCATCTTGTTACAACAATGCTAGTATCGGGAAAGATTGCTCTTTCACACGCGCCGTCTTTACTCAACTCTTCTGTTAATCCCTGCCATAAATTCATCATCCAGTCATTTTCAGGATGCAGTAAACTAATTGCATTGTCCATTATTGGTGTTAACAAGTAATTCTGATAGCAGATATCACAAGTACTGCACCAATTCTTCTTCTTGATAGTATCAAAATAAAAGTACATCTATCTATTTTTCTAAAATCCTACACACCTGTCAAACCTGTCTTATAGTTTTTGTTTGACCAGCAGCTTCTAACTAGTCAATTATGTATTTCAGAACCACTTGCTCTGCCCAGTTTCCAAGTTTTTCTAAAATCATATTTTTCTTAATGCTTTCAACTTTATTCATTATCCATTTAACCTAGAACTTAGCTTTGAGCAGCATAAAGTAAAAAATTGCAGTCAAGAATTTGAAGCTACAGATAGTAGATTTAAAACTTTGACAGAATGTTTTTACCTCATTAAAGAATTCAATCGGTTTGTTTTTCAAAGCCTTAGGAACTTGAAATTGTAGCCTGTAAGGACCATCCCAATCACCTCCATTTGTAAATGAAAAGATTAAGTTCAGGGCTGCATAATTATAATCCGTCAGTCCATTAGGAAAAACAAAATTATATGGCCAAAAATTGAAAAATGAACTGAAGCAAACGATACTAACCATGCCTGGGAATGCATATTTGAATGGAATATATTGGGGAATCAGCTTTGCCTCGACTTTTACTAAGCATTGCTCTTGGCTCACCACCACACATTATAGGCTGATTAAAACCTCCTGTGAGGACAAGAAAACAACCAAGTCAAGGAAATGCAACTGTGACATTAACACTTCCAAAAGCAGGGCAAATTCAGCTGTTCTTTTAGCAGCAAAAGTAGGACATAACCAATCAATGGGTTACAATAGTGAAATTGTCAGTTAAACATAACAAATTATGAATTATAATGATACATGATTACAATATTCTGGAATTTAGTTTTACAAAAGAAAAACAAAGAGGGTAGGGGAGAGAACATAATGGAGAAACATGAATGAAGTAACTGAAATGTGGGAGGATTTCGAAGCTCCAAAGGCATAGAAGCTGCACAAGGAGCCAAGACATACTCCAAATCGTTTATTTCAGCATTGTTAAAAATCCCTCATGGCTCATAAGTGAAGTCAAGAGGGAACAATAATGCTGGAAGAAAAATAATGGAATTTATAAAGCAGATATGATTACATGACTACCATTTTACTTCACAAGCTTAGCTGTTAGGGAATCAGGGAGGAGCATAATAGAAAAACATGAATGGAATGTGGGAGAATTTCGAAGCTCCAAAGCCCAAAGAAGCAGCATAAGGAGCCAAGACAAAACTCCAAACCATTTATTTGAGCATTGTTACAAATTCTTTTAGAAGGAAAACCAAAACAACTTGTCATGGGTCTATTCTTTTAGACTAGTAGTTCAAAAATTTATGCTGTTTAGGGCATGAGGAGAAGAACATATTAATGAAACATGAATTAAGTAACTGAATTTGGGAGAATTTCGAAGCTCCAAAGCCCATAGAAGCAGCATTAGGAGTCAAGACAAACACCAAATCATTCATTTGAGCATAGTTAAAAATCCCTCATGGCTCTTAAGTGAAGTCAAGAGGGAACATCAATGCTGGAAGGGGAGAAAAAGAATTTGTACAGGAATTAGTAGTTTAGACAACTATTGTAGTCTAAGAGTTTATGCAGCTATGGAGTGATGGCAAAAACATAGTAGAGAAACATGTGTGAACATAAAAACAAGCTATAGACAATCAAATTGGTTTGCACTCGTAAGTGGGCATAAGACATATGAACATGGTGTATGAAAAGTACCATTGAATGCAATCCCAAATTCTTCATTTGGAACAATATTATTCGCAGCTGGGTTGTAGAAAATCCTTAGGTTTTCTCCCTGTCAAAGTTTGTGAATGCTTTTAGTATAAGAGAATGGCAATAACGAAAACCCAAAGGAGTTGTGCACCAGTGCAATACTTACAGCGGTAGGAGGAAGGCCGTTCATGGTTTTCCAATATACAGGTGCCCTCCCAAGTTCAAACATGGCCCATGATGGAAGTATGATCCTGAAATGAGGGAGTTTACAATTTTAAAATGATTACAAATCAGCTTCTCAAGGAGGAGGCAAAGAAATATATTGAAATGCTGGGCCATGATTAATTATTTCAGACACCATGCCCATGTAAAATGCAGATGACATTTCATTTCATCATTCAAACCAAATGGACTGGAAATCCCACAAAGAAAAAGAAAGTCAAGATTTAGCAATAATAAGTAGATGTGGTAATGCAGTTGCAGTAAGGGAAACTTAAAACTCATACTCTTTGGGCTCCTCCACAGGAGTTACTGCAACTGTTGCTGCAGCAGCACTAACTTTCCCATTGCCCTTGACGACTTGCTTCCTTATCAAAGGACACCTTGGCAATGAAAATCCCTTAAAACTGCTAGCTGCATTAGATTGTAGAGCTGTTAAGAATTTGAAGTCTTAATCTTAAAACATAAATTAAGAATTTGAAGTCTTAATCTAAAAACATAAATCTTTTGATCTGACAATATGAACAGAAAACATTTATTATTACTTGTGCAGCATAGAAATCAAAATATGAACAGACAATTTTTTTGATCATGCGACAAATCAAACATGTTTGATATTGCAAACAGCTTTCTAGATACTATCAGAAACACCCAGAAAGAAAAGAGAAAAGAAAAATCAGTAAACGATCAAACCTGTTCAAATTTAGTTAAACTCTGTGATGAGATAGGCTTTAGCAGATTGAATTTCTGCATGCCCTGTTGCTCTTCCATTTTATCATAGGAAAGCAACTGGGAGCTGACACCAAGATAAATTTATAGTGGCATCTAATCCTGATGACTTTTTCAAATTTTCAACTTAGATAAAGATGAATTATTATCATTTAAAGGACACGTAAACACCATGCTCAAGGACCCACTTCAAAGAAGCCCTCTCTCTAATTGCGAGCACTCAAAGGTAAAGATAAAACTATTATGAGTAGAAAATCAGCAATTGAAGCTTGTCCACAAATTTCAAACCAATTTTGGTTGTGATTTCCAAAGTCACTTTTTCTTTTTGGTGGCATATTATAGTGCAAGCTACCTAAATTTCTTTCTAGAATCCAAAGTCTGCAAATAAATAAATAAAAAAACCCAACAGTTAGAAGCAGTTCCAGAGACCAATTAAGAAGGAAAAACATACCAAGAGTGTTTGAAACAGGAGGGCTTGCTTTGCTTCTAAAAATGGACGGTGTGGTTGGAAAAGGTTGTGTTGAAGACGCAAAGATTGACGCTTTTATTGCTGCCATGAATCACACTTTCTTGCTTTTCCCCAACTGCCAAGACACACAGCAAGAAGAAAGAGAGAGGGAGAGAGAGAAAGAGAGAGAAAGAGAGTTGTAGCTTAATCCCTCATCAGTTGGGCAAGTGTACAGTGAAGAAGAAGAAAAATAGATACTTGGAGGAGGGAGATAATGACAAATAAGCAGAGGAGCAATCTGAGACACAAATTTTACAGAAATATCCTACCCTTCTAACAAATAAGAACAAATGTTACAAAATTGAAAAGAAATTTTTTTTTGTAAAAATGGGATAAAAAATATCTGGATCTTAAAGACTCTGTCAATCTGAACACAACCCAAAAGCCCAAAAACGCAAACGCCGCCTTATCATATAATCCCTCTTGTCTCTTTCTCTCCCTTTCAGTCCACAATTAAATTCAACAAAATCTAAGAAACATGACTCCACCACAAAGCCACAAACCCTCTGCCCCACCAAAACCTCAACCCCAAAATCTGTAGAGTTTTTTTTTTAATTTTTGCTGGTTTTGTTAAAAACCCAATTGAGTATCAAACCCCAACAAGCCTCCTCCTCCTCCTCCATGGATTTGATCAAATCACCACCGGCCAATCCCAAAACCCACCATTGTTTCCCTCTTCACCACACGTTTAACCGGCCAGAAAGACCCGTTTTGGGGTTCAGGCCATTGCCTCAGAGTTCCAAGGTCCTAAATTTTGTTCATTATGATTCAAAACAATCACAACCCAATAAGTTTTTAACAAGCACAAAGCTTTTCAGCCATTTGCTTACCAATTCTTATAGAACAGTACCAACAATAAGTACCAATGCAGCTTTGTCTGAAGCCACAGAACCAGAGGCAGAGACAGAGCCAGGGAATTATAGGAGAATTCTATTGTCTGATGTGATTGTGAAGAGGCCTAGGAATGTGTTTATGGGGAGAGAATGGAACTTAAGGGATATGGCCACAGCTGGTGTTGTTTTGGCAATGCATTTGCTCAGTCTTTTTGCACCTTTTCAATTCAATTGGGGAGCTTTTTGGGTGGCAGTGGCACTTTATGTTGTGACTGGTCTATTTGGCATCACTCTTTCTTATCATAGGAATCTTTCACACAAGAGTTTCAAGCTCCCCAAGTGGCTTGAATACTTGTTTGCTTATTGTGCAGTTCAAGCACTTCAGGTGGGTGCAATTTGAATTTGATTCTGAGGAAGATGGCTTCTTTTTTTTCTGTTTTTAATTTCATTTTTTCTGAAGTTTTGATGGTTCTGTTCTGTGATTGTTTGTATTTTTGGGTTTGTAGGGGAGCCCAATTGATTGGGTGAGCACACATAGGTACCACCACCAGTTTTGTGATTCAGAGAGAGACCCACATAGCCCAATTGAAGGTTTCTGGGTTAGTCACATTAGTTGGCTCTTTGATACCAATTCTGTGGCTGAAAGGGTATGAAATTCTGTTTCTTTTCTTTTTTTTCCTTTTAATTATATGCAAAACATAAATTTATTCTATCTTCTTCTTCTTTCTAATGAATATTTCATGCTTGAACATTTTCAGTGTGGGGGATCAAATAATGCTGGGGATTTAGAGAAGCAGCCCTTCTATAAGCTCATTCAGAAAACTTACATTGCTCACCCCATTGCTCTTGGAATTCTACTGTATGCAATGGGAGGATTCCCATTCCTTGTGTGGGGAATGGTAAGAATGGCTTTCATTTTTGGCTTTTTCTAAAGCCTTTCTTGTGAGCCTATCAAACAGTCTTAGACATCATCTTGTTGCAAATTAACTATTGCAGGGTGTGAGAATTATATGGGTATACCACATTACTTGGCTGGTTAACTCGGCTTGCCACGTGTGGGGAAAGCAAGCATGGAATACTTGTGACTTGTCCAGGAACAATTGGTACTACTATATCTCTAAACCCTCCAAAAGTTCGAGAAAAAGTTGGGTGGGAACTTCACAACATGCCGAGTGGTAAAGTATAATGTCACAATTTTAACCTGACAAAGTTTACCACTCGGTCTATGATAGGGAAGTTCCCACCCAAAATTTCATTTGTAGATGTGTACATTTTCTCAACATAATTTGCTAGAAATTTGTCCATATCAATGTAGGACCTTTTTGTTGTTAATCCACTCAACTTCATGGGTTTGGGCTGACTTCAAGCCCAATTGGGCTTAATTGCTAGTCTAGCTTTGGGAAAGGCTCTCAAATAATATTACAATAATAATGCTATTTGAGAATTTTGTTACAATAATAATAGTATTTGAGAGAATTTTCTTTAAATTTTAGATAGTTTGGACTCTAAAAGAAATGTTACTTTCAGGTGGGTGGCATTATTGGCATTTGGTGAGGGTTGGCACAATAATCACCATGCTTTTGAATATTCAGCTAGACATGGCCTCAATTGGTGGCAGCTTGACATGACTTGGTATGTTGTGAGATTTCTCCAAGCTATTGGATTGGCAACTGATGTGAAGTTACCCACAGAGGCCCACAAACAAAGAATGGCTTTGAACTAAGCAAGCTTGGCCTCGTGAATTTCAAGTAAATCATGGGCGTTTGAGTTTTTTCTTTTCTATGAAAAGGGGCGTTTGAGCATTGACTTGTGTAGGTTTTTTTTTCCTTTTCTTGATAAGAGATTTGTGTAAGCAACTCCATATATGATATATATACACACAAAATTATGTTGTCATTGAGGAATTTATATATGTGCCGGTTCCATAAAATTTCTCGTATACCATGTATACGAAGCACAAATGATATGAGTGACACCTACGTTGATATTTCTTGTCCCTATTTCCTTGTCATATGGCACAATTTATGTCAATCAATTTCTCCAACTTCTACCTGAAAAAGAGGGTTTTTAAAACACAAACTCAGACTAAATGGGTTCAAATTTTTTACTATCTCGAGCAATGAGTTTCATCTCTACTATAATATAAAAACACCCTCCTAATAATCCCACCCCATAGCTTTCTGATGAAGTACTCTTTACACACCCCATAGGGTCTAAGGAATTTAGGAATCTTTTGTACTAGCATTCGGAACTTCAAAGCTGAAAGAGTGAAAAAGTTTTAGTAATAAGACAAAAAGGAAGAATGTGTCTTGAATGGATAAAGGCCATAGTAAATAAGCACGGGAGCACAAGAAGCATGGTTATGAAGTCTACGATTTCATATTATATTTGCAAAAGCACCTAATGTTTTCATGGGTTAGGAAAAAAAAAATAATCGCCATGAAAAGTGCTTCCTATAAAGAAGCAATTTTTGTGCCTTACCCAATGGTCTGCTTACGTCAATACACAAAAAAACAAAGAGCATGCTTTCTTTCTTTATTTTCTTACATAAATTACATGCATTGTTCCTCTAATCCAATAAGCAAAAGCACCAAAAGTTGTTTAAGAAAAGATTCTTGGGTTTTAATCATTTTGGCTCTACCACATTAGTAGTAAAAGTGATTAATAATTTTGGCATGCTAGTTAGCAGTACAAATTCATATGATACAATATTGGTTGCATAATGATAACTAGTTTTGAAGTGTTATTATCCCAATGTTGTTGTATCTCGAGACTTACATGACCTATAATTAAACAACAACAAATTTGAGAATGATTTTAGGTTCTTTACCTAAAAATAAAGATATAAATCTTCACACACAATAAATAAATGAAAAATATCAACAAGGGTTGGTTGAGTTAGTAAGAATCGTTCTCTTCACTATCAAAGCCCAAATTCGAGTCTCGTTGATGACAATCCCTCTTAAGAGTGAATTGGTGTCCTGCATCCAATTTATCTAAGTAAAAATGGACATGTATCTATGATAGAGTTTGCTTACGTCAAAGCATGCTTTTCACGTGAGCAAGCCGAGGTAGTTATTAACAAAGTAATTAAATAACATGCTTCACATATTAAAATAAAATGAACTATGGTTAAACCCATAATATATGTTAATCTAGATTAGGATGGTTCCTGCACACTTTGTGCAGAGTAAGTAAAAAATATGTCTACCATTTCGAGACACATATAAGATAATTATATTCTCTCTGCATGTTCATGCATTTTGGTCTGCTAATTATTTCATTCAATGATAAAAGCCTTCTGTTTAAAGTTTTAAGAAACTTTTATTAGAAGCGAGACACAGAAGAAAAAAAGGTGAATATTCGAAGCCTCCATAGCATTTTCCTGTTTCTTTGCTACGTTTATTTGCTGCATTCAATTTGCTGAATTTAAAACTACTCTTGCAAAAAGAAAATTGGAAGGACATCTCTCTCTCTCTTTCATATATCCTTGCATAAGGGTCATACTAATTGATTTACCAAATTATTCTTTCGGTCATAGACCCCACTATCATTTATTCTCTTTTTAAAACTTTCTGCATCATATTGACCCCATTAGCTTTTTAAAATATAATAAAATAATATGATATTTGACATTTCGAATGAAGTTAATTTGATATCTCCATTGAAGATGCTCTCAAAGTATCCAAAATTCAAAACCGAAATAACTACCATCGGTCACATAATTATTGGAAAAGTTTTGTAGTGATTAGGGCAATATGTATATAGGTCCAAAGAGCCCTTTGATGAAGTTGGGCCATTATAACTTGAGATTTACAAAGCATTACTCATTATTACCACCTAATGAATAGAAAAGGGATTGGCTACAACTTTAAGAAAAGTCACCACTACTAACTAGCAAAATCAAAATTTAATCCCACCAAAATGAGTGGTTTTCTTCTTCTTTCTCATGCAAATAATAAGTGACACAAATAAAATGGAATAAATTAAGCCTCTAATTTTGTGCTTGTTCATCAGCATCTTCCTTTTGAAAGTCCCTTCTTCATCATGCTTGCTCCTCAAACGAGCAAGCATTGCCCATTTTGCCACGTGTCAACCCCATCCCAGAGTTTGTCACCCCCAGGTTTGTGTGCACAGTGCACTGAGAACCTTGTTTACCGGGGGGGCTAAGCTAGCTCTTTCTTTCAGAGCTCCCATTCCCAAAACCAAAAGTTTCTGCCTTCGCTGCAGAGCAGGCTCTCCAATTCTGGCAGTGGGAAAAGCCCAAAAAGAAAGCAACAACAGCCAGCCAACATTTTCTCGATCAAAAAAGATAAAATATGTCAAAAATGGAAAAAGGGTTGCTTTAATTTCCACTTATTTTTATTCTTTTTTATATGGGAGTGTGTGTGTGTGGAATGGAATATGGAGTGAGTGACTGACAAGTAACCCGGTGCAGGCAGTTGTCGGCTGGGAGTGAGGCTTCACCGCCGCACCAACCTGCCACAACAGACAGCACGCGGGCTCACTGGCTACGGGGACAGCAGGTCACCACCTCCCTCTCTCACTCTCAGTCTCATTTAATTTAATTTAAATTGGGTTTAGGTTGTTAAACTGAGTTGAGTTGAGTTGGAGAAAAACTCTCATGCAAATTCCCGGCCAGTAACGCAATGACAAGTAGAATAATTTTTCAATATATTATTATGTTATTAATTCGAGATGACAAAATAGTATTATCCTGTTATGGGTAAGTTGAGTTGGAGGCCTGTGGTTTGTAGGCTGGTCCGGTTGATACCCCACATTCGCCTCGGTAAGTTCCGCATTGCACGCTCTGAAACTACTCAAATCTTTCTTAAGAATTTTGGGTTTGAATATAGGCAAAGATTAATTACTTTATTAAACAATTTGTTTAATTAATTTTATAGGCAAAGAGTGGGGTCCAATTGGATCACTACTTGCTTTAAATCCCAGGTGGGCTTTCCCGCTTATATATATATAGATGAAGTGAAAGAGCACAAACACAACAAAACCCTTAAACCCTGAAGCTGCTGGTGAGGCAAAGCAAAATCTGATCTCAATATTTTGTTGCTCATTTTTATTGTTTGTTCAGCCAAGACGGGTCTGCCAGTGTGGATGTTGGGGTTGGGTGTTGATCGGTTGCGAGCCGACATGAATCGGTTGCTCGCAATGCTCTTTCACCAGGTGGGTTCTTGTTCTCTTCATCTTCAACATTTCATTGGAGCTTAATTATTATATTTGTATGATTAATCAAAATTAATTGTATAAATTAAAAATAGTTCATGTTCTTGTTTGTAAAGGGAGTTTTGGATGAGCAATTCTTGCAGCTTCAACAGCTCCAAGATGAGAGCTCCCCAAACTTTGTTTCTGAAGTTGTTAACATCTACTTTCATGAGTCTGAGAAGCTCTTAAGAAATCTCAGAGAATTATTGTGAGTCTCTCTCTCTCTCTCTCTCTCTCTCTTCATTTTGATTAATTTTGGTTAATTTTGGTTGATGGGTCGGTGATATGAACATTGAATTGAATTGATCAGGATGGATAGAGAGTTCTCGGACTACAAGAAAATGGGGACACATTTGAATCAGTTTATGGGAAGCAGCTCAAGCATTGGAGCCAAGAGAATCAGAAACGTCTGCGTTGCTTTTCGCGCTGCTTCTGAACACAACAACCGTGCTGGGTCAGTCAGTCAGTCACCCTTCACCTTTTTCTCTTCCTTTAATTTAATAACCCACGACGCGTATGTATTATCTCTCTACGAGATTATACAAATAACAATAACAGTACGTAGGCATGTTGTTTATGGTGTTTGATATTAATTCTCATATGGGGTTTTGTTCATGTACGTTTTTCAGGTGCCTGAGAGCTTTGGAGGTGCTAGAACATGAATATTGCTACCTCAAGAACAAATTGCATGAATTATTCCAAGTAATTACAATTAAACTAGTAATTATTCCTTCATTTATGATCATCATATATCTCTATCTATCTCAATCTCAAGCTTTGATTATTTTTGTATGGCATTGGCATTGCAGATAGAGCAGCAACGAGTCTTGGCAGCTGGGGTTAGGTACCCGATGCAGAACAATTAAAGCAATTGCCATAAAACCCAGTACGGCTATCTTGCTAATTTGCTTCAGGTTTTCACTCAAAACCAAGCTAATTTGACCCCACCACCACTGAAACAGTAGCAGCAGATAGTAGAAAATTAGATCGTCGAGAATATGCATGGCTAATTATGTCACTGCCATCCACCGACCAGCCTTTTATTGTAGAGTCATTCTTTTTCAGTCATTAAGATTCCCTACGTCCTCCTGCCTGGTTGTAAACTTTGAATGAAATTGATTTGTACTATGCATGCACGCATGCCTAGCTGTTCTAATTAATTGCCAACGGGTTATTTTTTTAAACTTGTTACCAAAATCTGCTCAGAAGAGAACTTAATATGATTAGATTGTTCAGTCTCTGTATAACAGTGAATCAATCAATCGATCAATTTGGCTGGGAAAGTTTCTGTCATTTTATTTGATGGTCAAAACATAAGGCGTGGACCATATTCAAATTTCCATGCCCAGTCCCACTGCGTAAATATCTTTATGCTGACTGCTGTTCATGCTCAGATAAAATGTGCGGCTGATTGATTGATCCACTCATCAAACTTACCTTGTTTTTGGTGGAGATCGGTTGTCTTTTAACCAAAGGGAAAGAGAAAATGTATTGTACCAGAAAATAAATTATTAAAAGTTCATATATGATAAAACTAAATCAATTTAACTTTTTTCTCTTTTATTTTTTATTTTTATAAAAGAGACCCCACTAGGCAGATATGGCCATCAGTTTCATTTTCAATTATTTTCGTTTGTAAAACTAATGCTACTATCTCTAGTCATTCCAACACATGA